GGTAACACGTGAACACGTCTGTGACATGCTAATCAAAACCCAGCATATTTACCCAGATACGGAGCCAACATAGTCCAGGCACGCTTCGCTTTTCCATGAGCGCAACGAACCACGTTAGAGTTATATTCTGTGCAGTAGGAAAAAAATTGAATCAAGATTAATTACACTAGGATCATAAAATGCAATCATAACCACAAAATAACGCCATAAGCGTCCGAAGAGTCTTTTAATGTAACATAAGTGCGTCCACCGAGTTCAAAAAAGGCGGCGCAGACTAGACACACTAACCACTCTGCCCACGAAAAACGAACGACTAAATAAGCACGCCACGCGCTCACACATGCTGGCCAGTCAAACGCTTCGCGTCTTAACACTCATGGCTCACCATAGCCCACACAACCTCGCACTTCATCGCTTCACACCTACACCATCGATAAGACACCCACGCAACGTCTCCACAACACTCCTGCAGAAACATCAATGTTAAGATCTCACACAAACACACCGTCAAAAGCTATCGTCAAGACGTCCCACTCATCTCCACATTCTCCTTACCCAAGAGGAACACAAACCGCACTGCAAGCTACCCGTGACTTGAATGTGCTCCCGGAAAACATCCCCGCAACAAACAAACACACATTGGCACTAGCAAATACGCACGTACGCAAGCACACACTACATAACTCAGGAAACATTGTCGCGACGACCGAAACAACAACCGCCGGCCCCGCCCACGTTCACACTCCTGTACTACGCATGCGGCGCTGCTCTAACGCCCCCGCACAGCACGCTATGCATACGTCCTGCAACGTAAAAGCAGCGACTATACAAGCGCTAGCATAGCGGAGATGCAGCCGTGCTGTGTTGTCACGATCACGAACGCAAACCACTACACGGACATGCTGCCATCCACCGTGGGCGCGTCTGCCCAAGCACCGCAAAGTCGCCACAGACCAAAAAGACTAGCCACTCTGCCCGGGATAAGTTAAAGTTAGAATATGCACGCCCCCTTCTGCAAACTGCCCGCCTCTCAAACGCATTTCCTTCCAAGACCTGTACTCTACTCATAGCTAACTAAAACTCAGTACATCACTATATGGCCACAAAAGCTTCAGCGCATGGCCCTTTTAGCAAGGTTTTTTGGAGCTGTCGAAGGCCTCACGCAACCTACACAAGACACTGCGCTGCATTGTGTTGTGACAGACTGACAGGCACTTTGCCATGTGTCACTAGCGTGGCAAAGGATTAGAGCCTCAAATAACGACGCGTCGCCATTAGTCCTTTGGACACGTAAAATCGTTGGAGCAGTATTAACCAGTCATCTCCACATGCAGTGTTGTTTGTTTGATACGAAACGACCCCGCCGCGCCATCACGCTCTGCTGCTCCGCGTCTCTTCTGCAGAAAGTATTGTCCTGTTTTTGAAAGGCAGGTGCACGGGCGAATTGACGCAGCTACGCGATGCAATCGAACGAAGGATGACTGAAAGCAGAAACATCAGGATGCTGCTCTTAGTCATGGTGTACACAGGTTCTGTTGCACCGCGTAAACACAGAAAAAAGGCGCCAAAGCACTGTTCGCACTTCGCCTGGTGAGAATCCGCGCACCTAGCGCCCAAGCACTGCTCCACCGTCGGGCGCTCTCAACCCAGTACTGATACTCTACTCACAACCCACCAAACACCATCCTCCATAGGCGTTCAATAATGCTTGAGCACAAGATGCCCACAGCGCCAGTGCAAATGCACCAAAGCTACTCTCATGCAGTCGAAGAGAGCAGCCTATTTGCCCGTGGCGGTACAAACCGCCTCGGCACGACAAACACATGAACACGCACGTCGCGCTACCTTCGCGTTGCCAATGCCCACAGCTCTCACCCCCCTTACAAGCAAGCTTACAAGCAAGCACTAGCAATCAACAAGGCGTTCCTTCATTTGCTCCATTCACGGTAACACGTGGACATGACTGCCATGCAGAAACCCGCAACTCGATCATGCAAAGCTACTGGGGGAATGCGGCACGCATGCACATCATGTTCATTTGCTCCATCCACGGTAACACATGAACGTGACTGCTATGCAGACACCTGCCACCACAGCCTGCAAGGCTGTTGGGGGAATGAGGCAAGTATGTTCACCACGTTCGTGACGGTCGGAAGTTTACATTTTTGAGCACTAGGTAAAAAACTGAAGCTTGGTACATCCACTATTGAACAACAGCCGCACGCCTAGGGTACGGCCGTGCTGAGCAGCACATTTTCATTAGATCGCATATCTTTTGCTGCGACGCTGACGCCCTGTATAGCCTGGCAGTGGTACACACCAATAAAGTCCGGGCTTTACTTAAGCTTTTCCGCGATCTCCACTGGCGAACTCGAGCTCCCCAACGCACGCAACAGAATGTCAGATACCTTCGAAGGGATAGAAACCCGCCAATTCACGAACCTCGGTGAAATCATTAGGGTTCTGATATATGCATAGCAAAGGCGGAAGCCCATGAGGTGTGCTCACTTATGAGCGCAAGTTGTAGCTATCCACAGCACGCCAAGCACCCTTGGTCCCAGCAGCTGCACGAACGTCACTGTCACGCCACACTATGAACACAACGCCGTTGAGTCACTGACGCCCGTTCTCACCTCAAACGCAGACAAAAAGCCCTCCGACGAGGGAACCACCATTTGCTCACTCCTCCGCACGTCTGTTTACGCTGTACATTGTATGCGGGTGCAACACGCCCCCCAGGCGAGCTAATCGCTAATAACTTGGCAGAGCATGTGTACGGCACGCACATGCAAGCAAGTGCTCTCATCGAACCCATCAGCGCAGCGTGCGGCGCGGCTTTGCGCTTCGAAGGGAGACGCTATGCATCGTCAGCACCATGCATGCCTGTACATGGTCTTCTGGTACACTAATCTCACCAACACTGCGGGCGCATTGCAACTGTAAGCAAGATTGTCCACAAAGAGGATAAGCGCAAGACAATGGCGCAATTCCATGCGCCACACGCAAAGCGGTCGAAGCGCACAATAAAGCAACGAGTGTCAGTCTTGGGCGGAATCCTCACTGAATAGAAAAGCTGATCGGCCAAGAGCTCGACCCAAAAAGGAAACGCAAAACGTACTGGCGCGATTCCATGTGCTACATGCGCAGCCCTCGACGCACGACATGAGGTCACAAATCTCAGTCTCCTATGACACCTTTTACAAAAAACATTAACACAATAATCACAGACTCCACTAACGGCATGTCGCCGTAGCGCGAATGCACGGGACCCGACAGGACACTTAGGAGCCTAGGAAAAGCATTCCGAGTGCAGTTAATCAACTTCGCGCCTAGGTCACACTCAGAATGAGCGGCCATTTGATCCTAAAAACTACTGATGACCTAGCGAGTCGCGCCGGCGCGTCGCGCCAAAAAGCCCTCACGTCACGCATGAGACTGAAGATTACGAGGCAAGGACTTCGCCCGCCTTCTGCCATATTGCGTTTGTGTTGTCCGGGAGATCCGTTAGGTTTATGGCCCTTGATTGCAGTGTAGCAACGAATGCCAAGAAACCCAACAATCGTCCCGATCACTAAGGCGAGGCTTGAAAATGCAGGCAGCATGCCAGGCCGGCATCTCGCATTTTTTATGTAATAATTATGGGGTTGGGACGCGTTTTTTGTTACCCGTGAGTTTTCTAATGCCGTCAGAGCATTAATTTTGCGTGCATCTGCCCTGTTTGCTTTCTGTGGCCAGCAACGGGCCGCCAGCACACACCGCTGGGAAACTATTTGGAAAGGTCTATTGGAGCCAATGTCAAGCTCTGAAAGTATATACACACCAGCTAAGAAAATATGCGAAACGTCAGCTGTAACGTGAACAGTCTGCCTCGTCGTCGAGACTATGGAGTTGTTTACAGCTGTCACACATGCACTCCCGTAGAGTGCTCTGCCGCATGCTCCAGGACTACTGATGGTAGTGCGCACAACATCACACAAGAATTAGACCAGCTGGAAGATATCTTTATTAAAAGAACAGTGGATGTTTTGCTGTTCCTTTTGGTATTCATTTACGTGGACATGAGACGCGCACAACACAATGTGGCAGCAGTTTAGGAAGCGGGCCGGTGGAACAGTAGCCCTGTGGCGAGCTGAGGAAAAGCTTGACCAAGTCACAACTGATTTGGACGAAAAATTTTATTTTGTCAGGCTAAGGCACATATGTGGCTGTTAGTGTGTTATTTCAATGGAAACAGATCTGCAGCACGCAAACGCCCCCGGCAATCGCTCGTAATTTTTGGAATATATTCACCAAATAATGAGCTAGCTGCTGCCAGGGTGGCAGGCATTTCTTTGTGGAGGAGCTGCGCGCCAGTAGATATTCAACGACAAACATAAGTGAACATGGCATTTCAACATTGTGCCAATGTTGATTTGAAAAGCTTTTGAGTTATTGCTTACACATTCGGGCTTTTGCGGCGGCTGAGCCACACACAGCCCCCTGAACCAGGGTGGATGTTTCCCTGAGATGCCAGAACTAGTTCAGCAGCAAGCAGACGACTGAAGCTCACGAACACAGCAGTTGGAATCTTGAAGTAGTGCAGCGGTGGTGCAGCTCGATGGCATTGGTAGACAGAGTGTGGCAAGAGCTGAATGAGTCAGGCACTAGCTGGAGTGCAGCACCGCCAGACTGCAGACTGCAGCCGTTCCCTGTCCAGTTTCCAGTTTCCAAAGGTCAAGAAAAATGAACTTTCGCAGGAAAAAAGGCCATTAGCATTCACCAGTTCTCTGCAGTTCCCTCACAAAAACCTGCAGATGGGCTCACTTCACACAGAGAAAGTGCTGGCGCCCCAGAGGAGGGCTTGGCTACACAGCTGCCAGGGAGCATAACAGTCTAAAGTCTTAAGTTTTGAGAGCTGGAAGTCTGTGTCCTGCACAGTACAGCGGCAGGCAAATGTGCTGAATGAAGAGTGCATCAGCAGCCGCAGGTACAACGCTCTTGCGGCGCTGAAGGGGATCTTTATGGACGCCTCAGTGCCCAGCCTTTTTTACAAAAGAGCGTTTGCTTTGCTGGTTGATCCGCTGATGCTGTGTCTTTCGGGGCCCGCTGAAAAGGCACGGCGCCTCGCAGCCAGTTCTATTTTTTTCTGCGAAGCAGCAGAAGTGGACGAAGCCCTGGGCGAAATGCTGCGGGCGCTGACTGCCCGCTTTGGCTCCGAAGACATTGAAAGAGTGCCTCCAGTGATGCGCCCGGACCCTGAGTACAAGCCCTTGCTGCTGACGCCCATAGGCAAGAGCGACGAAATACGGCAGTTCAAGTTGCTGCAGCTGGTGCCGAACATAAGTTCAGATGAAGCCGTTTTAAGCCAGCAACTGTTGGCCGTAGACCCGCTGTGGACCGGCGCAATGGATGTGCGCCCTGAGGTGAAGTCTTTGGCTATGAAGACCGTCGTTGAGTTTTGCAGTCGGCACCAAGCATGCTGCTGCACTTCACTGAGCCGCTGGCGAGGTCACTTCTTTCCTGTGTTGTGCACCAGCACTCGCGAATACTAATGAGAGCTCTTTGCGCACTCACACTGGTGCTTTCTTGTGGCTTGTACAAGTACAACGGCGAAACCATTCACATGTTGGCTGGCTAGCGGGACTCCAACACAGTGCCGATCCAGAGTTTGTACGAAATCACAGGGCCACCAAAGCCACCAAAAAACAGGTCACTGTTGTCTCTCTACAAACCCAAAAAGAACAGGCGATCAGTGCACTCACACAGCTTTTCAAATTCTTTGAAATTGTCTGCCCCAGCGCTCTTCAAGAGTGCCTTCGACAGTATGAGGCTCGAGGCCACTTCAGCCGCTGGGAGCTCTTAAGTCGAATCTTTAGAGACACCAATGGATCTCTTTCGGGCAATTAATGAGGCCTTTTGCAGTCACAAATTGAATTTGTTCCTTGAAACCCTTGAAAAACCCTAGAAACTATGCAGTTTCGGCGGCTTAATCTGCTCGCATCATTCCATTGGCTCTTAAAACCCAGCAAATGATTTTGAACTAAGAAGGTATGTCTGCTGCTAATTGGGGAATTTGCCCAAGTAGACAGTATTAATGAGGTGAACTTTTGGCCCTGCTGCATCCGCTCCGCAGATGTCAGAAGTGAATTTGAGTTGCTCTGGGGCTGTAGGCTGAAGGTTATTATTCGAAGCGTTAAAAGAAATATTTTTCTTGGTAAATTCACGGCATAGCCCTTGGCAGTTTGGGCTGGAAAGGCTTAATGGCTTTACCAAGGTTTTTCCAACTTTTTAAAAAACTGGCTGCTGGCCACCTGAATACTGTGAATACTTTTTACCTGCGCTTCCCGATGCGCAGCAGATCTAGATCATTTTTGAGCACCTATGTCTTTCGATACCTGTAAAGCCGCTGCAGCTGCTTGGTGGCATTAAACTTTTTTGACAAGATTGCCCTAACGGGATCAGCCTAGAAGTCTGCGCAGAAAGCAGTACTGTGCATGCAAGCCTCACTCTCTGCCAATGCGAAGCAGTGCGGGCTGCCGGGGCGCCACTGCTTCCTGCTGCAGCAGTAAAAGCAAAATACTTCTGCAGCAAAACGCTAGCTAGCTAGCTCAGCCGAGTCCCGTGCTAACGCTGCGGAAAGCCTTCTGTGCTTGTTTCACTTTCATGCCTTGCAAGAAGGGCCTCTGGCGGCCTGAGAAGGGCAAAAACACTTACCACCAGGCCGCCAGAGACCCTTTTTGCATGCCACGAAGCTGAAGCAAACACGGAAGACCTGTGCAAGTTGCCACTTGAATGTTGATTCTGGCCTGAGCTTAGCCTTCGTTGGACACCATCTGCAAATAAGTGGAGAAAGAGTTTCAGAAAGTCGCAGGAGCTAAGCTTTTGTGCTGAGAACAAAACATTTGGGGCTTTCCAAGCGGCAGAAATAAAATGCATTTCGTGGTTTTTGATAACAGGTATGCTTCGGTTTCTCAAAACTTGCATGCAAATTGCAAACTTTAATCAATTTCAGTAGTTCAACAGCTGAGAGCGGCTTCTGGCTGCGACGCGAAATGCACCTAAAGCTAGCAGCAGCGCCGCGAAGGCGACCCGCGTTTCTTTCCAAAAGGAAAGCTGCTGCTGCTGCTGCTGCTGTTTATAAGGTGAAGCCCCGTTTGCAGGCAAGAACTCAAAGGACAAAAGATTGCTTGACAAACTGAAACACGGTTTCTGAGTTGTTTTTCCATTTCGTGCGCATTTAAAGTTCAGAGACGGCGTCTTTCTCTCTTGCGAAAAGAAGCAGCAAATGCTCTGAATAAAACAATTTTTATAAGACAGGAATAATACTTTGTCTCAGTTGCTTTAAGCACTTTGTCTTGTTGCTCAGAATGCATGCACGCGTTTCTGTTGGAAAAGCCAAGAGCCCGGCGTCCTTATTTGCAGATTTTGGGTCTTTTCCGAACTCTTTCGCCGCGGTTTCTTGGCGTCGTGAGTTCCCTTTTGTCAATTTTTTAATGAGTTTTCAATTTAAACCTCTTCTCTCACTACTTTTGGGATTTGAATTCAAGTTCCAGTCGAAGATTCAAAGTTCCTCCTTGGGGGCTGCAGCCGCGAGGAGGAAGTCGCCGATCATTTCCACTATGGGGGGCCCCATGTAGAGGCGCCTGCGGTCGAGGGCCTGGGGCCCCTCAGGGTATAGCACGACGGCGGGCAGTTTGGACTTGAGGTCGAAGTCAATGAGATCATTAAGTTCTGCGTTGAGTTGGGCGAAGAGGAGGCGGCCGCGGAGCTGCTGCTGCTGGCTGAAGCCAGCAGCAACTTGCTTCCAGGCGTCGAGGAACAGCTCGCAGCCAGGGCAGCGGGGCTCGTAGTAAAGAACTGCGAGAGGAGCCCTTGGTGCTCCATGCAGAGTCTGGAGGAACTGGTGGTGACTCACCTCCTTCACAGGTCCCCCCGGGCTCGTAGCGCTTAGCCGGTGAGACCTGAAGTGCAGCTCTCGAGTACCCCGGGCCCACTGCTCAAGAAAGGCTTCGAGGCTGTAGAAGCTAAGAGGCATGCCCAGGGAATACTGCGAAAAGGGAGGAGCCTCTCTTAAGACCCCAGAGGCCCGCTGGTAGGCCCAGGGGTTGGGCCTGGGGTCTTCGAGGACAGCCCCGCCCCAGGGGGTACTGAAGAGGGCCTCGGCCTTGGCGGCCTCTTTGAGGCTCGTGCGGGCAATGTGGAAGGCTAGTTGGGATTTGTATTTCTCGTAAAACTCCATCAGAAGCTCCGCAATGTCTTGCAAGTTTTCAAAACGACTCACCTGTACGGACAGCAGCGCGCGGCGGCCCAGCAAAGGGCCCGTAGGCACTTCGCCGTAAAACACTTTCCTGTTTTCAGCCTCCAGCAGCAGCGCCAGCACTGCTCGCAGCTCCCACAGGGGTTCGGGGGAACTGAGAAAAGTTTCTTCGCCCAAGTCGAAGGGCAGCAGCTGTCTGTACACCCGGAGTTCTTCCTTCTCCGCCGCCTCCACAAACTGCACTTTGAACAAAGTCGACTTCGACGGCAGCTGCTGCCGCTGCTGCGCCAGCTGCGCCAGCAACAGCGCCCCCGCGCTTCCCCGGTGGACCCGCGCGTGGACCACTGGTCCAATGGGCGAGGCCTGCAACTCCCGAGCCGCCTCCCGGGGCCTCGCCTCATCTTCTGAAGAAAACTCTGCTGCCCGGCCCTCCTCAGCCAATACCCAATACGCAATTTCTGCAGCAGCCACGTCGGGGCCTCCGTAGCTGCTGAACAGCGCGCTGCTACTGGCCCTGCCCCCAGGGTAGAGCCGCAGCACTGGGGCCTCCTTGGGGGTCCCCTGGGAGACCACCTGGGGGGCCTCCTTAGCTTCCAGCAACTCCCGAAACTCTGGACTCTTGCTCAGCGGCACTGCCACAACCCTCGTCAGGCTGCCCCAATCCCGCAGCAGCTGCTGCGCCTTGCGGCTCTCCCGTAACGCCTCTTCAGACGGCGGGCAATCAGCAGCAAAAACAGCCAATAGGGGGCTTCCTAGGGGCCCAGTGGTCCCCAGGTCCTCCACAGAAAGAGTATCTAAGGGGGGAAGGTCTTCTTCTCTAAATATTCCCCCCCGGGAGCCTGAGCCTTTTTGCAGGGGGCTCTGGCGTCCAGGCAGCTCCAGCTCGTCTAGCGGGTGCTGCACTGGAACTCCACTTTTTTCTACTCCTCGGGGGCTTGTAGCTTCCGCAGGGGAGATAAAGAAGCTTTGGGGAAAGAACAATATCAAACAAATGCACAAATACCCCAAAACATGCAGCAAGCGCACTCGCACTGCCCCCCGACGCCGCCGTCGAGCCACAAGCAGCTCCAGGCCCCACCACCAAAGGAAACTCAGCAACATACTTAATTATCGCCAATGTTTGTACTGCAGCTTTTCTACCTTTGATAAATGCAGCTATATTTCAAAGAATTGCGCATTAGGGGAACTTCGGCTGCTGAGAAACACCTAAAACTGCCGTGAGACGCTATGGGGTTGGAGCAGCTAGAAGATTGAACAGAATAAAGGCTTCTAGATATCAGATATGCCATAAGCGGCTGTTGTGCGATTTTTAAAGAATAATGTTTATTTAAAACATTAATAAACGAACTGAAAGCATTCAAAACCGCAGGAGGAGCCTGCGGCCGTAGTGCAAGGCTGGGATGTCTGTATGACCGGTTGTTCCGTCTTCGAAGCAGCTTAATCACCTCCCCCCGTATCTGGAAAATTCAAAAGCAAGTGAATGAAAAATTGAGTAAATTTACTCTTTTCATTATTTCTGGCTCGCGAACACGGCAGATACAACAAAGACACCAAAGTTATTGAAGCGCGACACTGCTCTTCGCAGCACGGCGGCAGCACTGCGAGCCCTCCACACAAGGTTGCTGAAATATTTCCACTTTGTCGTATTTAATTTGAATGAATTTAACGTTTAATTGCACATCTTAGAGACAATTTGTGCAAAGATCCGAATCGGGGTACTGCAGGACAGGAGGAGAGCCGATGGCGCGACACCGCAGCCGCTCAATTCTGCAGATCCGAAGGATAAGTGCATCCTTGAGTGTCTCTAAATTGAAATAAATTGCTTTATCCAAAATGTGAATAAAATTAAACGATTTTTAATTTTAAATATACAGCGGAAGCCTGAAAGTTGGAGACAGGAACGGCAGCAGCGCTTATCACTTGATGAGCGCTGCTGCCGTTCCTGCCTCCAACGTTGCCAATCGTCATCTACGATGCCTTTGCATCTCCTAAACACGCTGTTTGTAAAAGAAAACAACAAGTTTTATTTTTTTAATTGTAAAAGTGTTTTTCTGTCGCAAAATACATTGAATGCGGTGGGTGCAGAGCTGCCTAAGCCTCCCTGCCTGCGGATGAAACCAGGTAGTAAACATTGAACAAACATTGAACTGTGAATATTAAGCACATATTTATTTCATTTTCACATAAAATGAAATAAATATGGGCTTAATATTCACAAAGTAAATCAAGGCTGCACTCCTCTGTCTCCGTACTGGTTGATTGGCTTCAGCAACTACAGTTTAAGGTTTGCGGTTT